ACTGTTCCAAAGTGTCTTAGGCAGATATTACATCTGGTTAACGTTATTTGGGAATTGTTATACACCGTCTTAAGAGTGCAATCATGGTCTCCCTCGCCTGACTACGCTAAAACTTAATCTCGAAATTCCAGTTAGTACAAATGAAATTAGAATTTTCCTCACCTTTGTTTAGAAATTTTAAAATTTGTTTCATTAATGTATTTCCTCCGGGATATTCTGTATCTGATAGGTTGATAACCTTTCACAATCCACTGAAAGAGGTTTTCTAATCACAACCTATTGATTGGTCTTTTATATTCACGTATAAATGTCCAGGACTAACAATTGCAGTGTCCAGGACTAACAATTGCAGTTGATACTTAATCTTAAAATCAAAAAACTTGGGATGAAATCCTAAACGAAGAGGATGAAGAGAGGTGGAAGTCTCTCAACAAGAAATGGCCAACAGATGTTATCGAAATAAAGCGGGTGGCCATAAACTCTACGAAACGAATGCAAATTCAAACGAACACGGTGTCGCGAATTTAAATATCACGAAATTCCAAATAAATAATAAAATAAATTTCTTATTCAAATTGTAAATGAATGTTAACAACATTTACATAATTTTTCTCTCATGCTTAAAGTCATGAGTCAACTATCCAATTTACTAAAAGAATTTTTCCTTTTGATGTTGAGATTTATGCACATATGGTAACTAATTTGTAAAGGCTTTTATCCCATACAAAATCCTTTATACAATGGTGAGATAGCTGTACATTCTATGCAATTTTTTCTAAAGAAAACTGTTCTTATATGTAAATTTCTCTTGCACATGTGAGAATACTGAATATATAATGATTGTTCCTCTTTACACAGGATATATAAACCCTAAGAATCTCTAACAATGTTAATGTTAATGTAAAATTTTCTCCACGTTGCAACTCAACGCTATTCAATACAATCCGGACTTATTTCCTCTCTATCACTTCAATATTTCTCCCGTTATTCTGTATTATTATTTTGAACTTCATTCCACTATAATCGGAATTACTTCTAACCTGGTTTTATTGTATTTGTTATTTGAACAACAATAAAGGATAACTATTATATTCCTCGAACACATAACCAATCGGTATTCAGTAAGTCACAATTTTTATAAAAAATAACTGCTTTACTACTAACAAGAATAGATACCTCATCTTCTCATTCTTCAAAAATCTTCCACGACACACGGATGCTTCAAACATAGCCTATGCAACAGCGATATATGTTCTAAACAGCAGTGCTATAAGGGTAGAAACATCACTGATTTTCGCCAAATCTAGACTGGCTCCAATTAAAGGGATAAGCATACCTCGATTGGAAATGCTTGCGATATTTATTGGTGTACGAGCAGTAAACGAAGCAATTAGAACTATACGGGTGCCCAATAACCCTTTGGTCGGACTTGAGATGTCATTCAAAATTGCTGCCAAGATTCGTAGAAAATCGGGTAGAAGAAATACGAGAAGCAAAAATTTCATTTCGATATATCTCCAGTAAGTATAACCTGTAGATATTACTACAAAGGGGCTTCCTCCAGGAAAACTAAAGGAGTATGAGGACCGCAATGGTTAAAAGAACCCGAAACTAAATGATCTCAATGGGAGGATCAGACCATGAAAGAATACGAAGACGGAACAGAGCGAATCATTGCAGAGGTCACGAAGCGAAAAATCGAGTATACAAATTTTTGGATCATCGACGCAAACCGATTTAGCAAGTGGTCAAAATTGGCAAAAACAACTATTTGGGTTCCTAAATTTATCAAAAGGACGACAAAAGAAAAATTACCATCGTTAAATTCGCTGTCGACAAAAGACATTGGCTAACAGCTAAAGACCATAAATTAGCTGAGTGGGTGATCATCAAACAAGCATAAACAGAAACGATTGCCGAAGACGAGATGAAGAAATGGAACTTATACTACGAGAGAATAAATCATGAAACTTACTAAGTCGTCTAGAAAATTCAGAATTGGATGAGCGAAGCAAACATCTTATTTATTTATCAAGACATAATGAAGCTTACACAATGAAGTTGCATCTAATACAACAGCGTGAGGCGTTATATCATGGCGGAACCGCACATATACTCTAAGAAATGGGACGTAAATTTTGGATACCAAAGGGCCGAACTGCAGTCAAACGTATTATCAACAACTGCACCGGCTGTAAACGATGGTCAGCGAAACCATTCAAGTTGCTTATCATGTCGAATCTGTCAGAAACACGAGTCAATCGATCAAGAACCTTTGCAAACGTTGGTTTGGACTATCTAGGTCCTCTCTCCATCAAAACTGAGAACGGAATATCCAAAAGATGGATTGCCTTATTCGCATGCTTTACCACAAGAGCAATACATTTAGAAATAGTAATTTATCTGCGGAGAGTTTCCTCCACGTATTAAGAAGATTCATATCCCAATGGGGATATCCAGAGCGAGTCTTAAGTGATAACGCGGGTCAATTTCAATTGGTCTTTAAAACTGTAAAGGAACAGCATCAAAACTGATGGAATTCTTGGCGGAAAAGAAAGTGATCTGGGAGAACATAACTCCAAGAGTACCCTGGAGTGGAGGAATCTATGAACGATTGACAAAAAGGACTATGAGAAAGGCCATCGAAGGAAGCTACTATGGAAAAAGGAATTCATAACTTTAATTGTGGAGATAGAAGGTATCTTAAACATTAGACCACTAACCAATTTTGACAATTTTTTTTGACGATAGTATGCCAATTTTGATGATAGTAAGGTAATACGTCCAGTTATTTCATTCAACCCAATGCTTTCTTAGTTCTTAGTTATACCGACAACTAATAACGATCAGGATGAATACATGCCAGGAACGTTGAACGCGAGGGAACGACTGATTAAATATTGGATGGACACACTCAAGGTACTCGATACATTTTGGGAATTATGGGAAATACAGTACTTGACAAGTCTCAGGAAACGAACTCAGAAAGAGCACGTAAATCCTAAAGTCACAGAGAATCGTTCACCGCGAGTAGGAAAAATTGTATTGTTGGACGAACATGAAACTCCTCGAGGTCTTTGGAAATTAGCAAAAATAAAGGAACTTAGAAAATAGAAAGATGGAGTCATAAGAGCTGCAGTAATAGAAACTCCGTATAGAAAACATGTTATAACATGTTATAACCCCTCGAGGTCAACATTGAGTCTGACATAGAAAGAGAAGAAACTAAAAATAAGCCAGAGAATGTCGAAGAACCTATTGCACTGAGAACAAGAAGCAAAAGTAAAACAAAGAAATCTCCTCTTGCAGGTGTTGGTCTCTTCAAGTTAGGAGTGTCGGATTACCGAAATTAAAGCTATGTTCAAATAAAACTGCCACAATATCAAACAGGAGGTGGCAAAATCTTGCAAGTAAAATTAAAGCGATGAAGAAGATATAAGCTAACATAAAGATTGCATAACACAAAGGTATCATTGTACTTACACAATGGACAATGCCAAAGGTTAGCCATACCTCCATGATAACCCCGATGGAGCTTACAAACTCTTCCCCAATCCTTTTATATATATATATATATATATATATATATAGGAAAATCCAAAAAAATGTTTTTACAATCGGATAGACGATACACGCTTATTCTCCACTACTAAATTACAACGACATCTTCCCAGACTCGGCATCACTGGACAACCACGATATTCTTATTATTTGCTGAATACATTTCCCGTAACATATTCCTAACTCAATAACCTATCAACTAACTGACAGTCAAATTATTGTCCAAAGCAACGACAAGGAATTTGTTAGTTGATCATATTGCCTGCTTTTTGTATAACTCATTTACCATTGCTTATCAATTCATCGTGTTATATACATACATATTTTATACCCTTTTTTTTTGTTAACTAGTAATGTTTGCTAGAACAATATTATATCCCGAATAAATATATATAGATAAGAAACAAATTCAATAGATTAGCTTTCCCGACAGTAAAGAAGTAAAAAAAGTTGGCATTTTTTGCTCTCAGATCATTAGCTTTAATATAACTTATGCGGAACAATCGATAAATTTATTCGAATTCAAGTATGCATATACATTATATATATATATATATATATATATATATATATATATATATATATATATATATATATATATATATATATATATATATATATATATATATATATATATA